TTCTCACTTTTTCTAAAGAGGGTGTTCGTGATGATCAGGCCATGTTCTACACATTTGCTCAGGATGAGGATGGCATTGGAATTAGCCTTTCCTACTCCTCCTTTTCCGATAGTGCCATTCCAGAGATCTGACTCCTGCCCAACTCTAGCGTTAAAATCTCCGAGAAGAATGATCTTGTCCTCCATGGGAATGTTGATCAAGACTCTGTCAAGATCTGTATAGAATTGTTCCTTGATATCCTCAACAGAATCAAGCGTTGGGGCATACGCACTGACAACAGCAGCAGACTGGTTGTTGCTGAGCTCAAGACGAAGAGTCATAAGATGTTCATTGATTCCTACAGGAAACTCTGTAAGCTGACTGACAAACTTATACCTAATTGCAAAACTGACACCATGAATGCGCCTGTCCTCTGGAGATTTTCCTTGCCAGAAAAAGGTGTAACCACCACCTTCTTCTCTCAGTTGACCTTCATCTGGGCACCTTGTCTCACTGAGGGCAGTGACGTCGATGTTATATCTCATAAGTTCCCTGGCAATGATAGCAGTTCTTCTTTCCAGCTGTACATTATCTTTGTTATCCATCAGGGTGAGAACATTCCATGTAGCAAAAGTCACTGTCTTTTTATAGCTTTGATCGCAGGCAGAGTGATCCCAGTGGACGCGGTAATCCAGCCAGGAGTGTATGAGACAGCCCAGGTTTAGGGCACCTTTTCTAGTCTTCTCCCCATGCGGGGTGAGCAGAAGGGATCCTAAAGAGGACTACTCAGTCACAATAGTAGCTGCCAAATTGCACCCCATCTCAGTCCAGGTGCCAGATGACCATTTAACTACCACCACCTACGTGCAGATTCATGGCTAGGGACTGCCAGATTCACTAATCCTGTCCCCGTCACCACTAGTCCATTGTTGCAGGGCTTAGAAGGTTGGAAAGGTGTTATTCCCCGTGGTAGAAGCCTGCGCGTAATTTATTTTAACATGGGGAAGCTTTTAACGTGGTGTGCCTATAGCAACCACACGGTCATGACAAGTTGGAGGTCTGGGGCCAAGTGACAGGGAAAGTCCGAGACGACTGGAGATCTCCACTTGCTGCAGCCTTCATCCACTTTCACAGCCGTAGAGATCCGAGGACTGATCCACCGTTGAGGACTTGGGAGATTGGACCGTGCTTTGTAACCCCCCATCATACTTGTTTGCCTTGGGAGACCCTACCAGGAACATGAAGCTCCTGACAACTTAGCTCTGAGGATCATTGGAACACGCAAGCCCCTTCAGCACACAAGGTGACGGTCCTGGTCATCAGTATGAGGATTCAACAGGCCAGATTCTGTGGTTATATCATATCCTTCAAATTCTGCCTTTTACCACACCTGCATAGCCCTGCTGTCTTCAGTGGGGTCTGACAAGTGTAATAGAGAGCAGAATATGGAAATTACAGAGTTCTGTTGGTGATGCATGAGCTAGAAAAGAACGCAGCTCACTCTCCTACAGTTGTGATGGTGCTACAGTACTAACATGCCAAAAATAGTAAAGTAACAAATATGACCCTGAAAACACATGGGCAGTAGGTCTGTTGAATAAGTAGGAGCCATTTTTACACAGTCACTTTTCTGAGCAGAACTGCACTGTAGGAAGTAGGAAGAGTGCCATCCTTATGCTGTTTGAGGAAAGGAAATCAATTGATTCACCATCATAATGCAATTCACATTAAACGTGGTTTTAATATCCTTATTATTTATGTCCTTCAGTGGGTTTTCTTTAACCTACATGCTAAATATCTGCAGTGAAACAGTTAGGAATATTAGACTGGTTTGTAGGAGTTAGTTGTGGGTCTGAATCTTATCTCAGTTACTTTAGTGAAATCAGAAGTAACTGGTAGGAGTGAGACTGGAATCAGGCATTATGTTTGTACTGAAATTTTTATTAACAGTCAGCACAGGAAATTTAGTATTTCTTTAGGTCTCTCTGTTGCAATCTCAGAAACTAACATCATCTCCAACATTTATCAGCTGGGGAAAAGGAGGACTAAAGTCTTACCAACAAGAGAGGAGGAAGATGCAAGCATTACTATGGGCTTTTGTACACTCGAAAAGCTACAACAGAACAAAGACAGCTGTGCCACCATAGTGCTTCAGCGTAAACACTCCCTATACTAATGGGTGGGGTTTTTCCATTGGTATAGGCAATCCACCTCCCCGAGAGGTGGTAGCTGGGTTGACAGAAGAATTCTACCACCTACCTACTGTTGTCTACATTGGGGGTTAGGTCAGTAGGTGTGGATTTTTCACACCCCTGAATGACATAACTGGGTCCACTTAACTTTTTAGTGTAGAACAGGCCTAATAATGCTGAGTCATTTGCAACTGGGAGTTTCTTTATCTTCTTCCTAATATTACAATTTTAATAATAAACTCTGAAGAATCAAAGGATGTTATGTAAAAGATACTTTTCAGTTGAAATCTAAGGCTCTTTTGGTTTTTATTCGAAAGTTGCAATGGGAGGAGTCAATGCCAAACACAATTGTATCTGCTTAAGTAGGCTGTTTCTAAAAAGCAGTAAATGAACCGTATTTAAATAAAAATAAAGCACAGTAAAATTTAATTTAACAACATACCAGTCACAGGAACAGCAACCAATTCATTCAATTGTATACTAATTAGCATGGGTTGGAAAATGGATTTTTCCCTTCCATGAAAAATGTCAAGCTTTCAGAAAAAACAGTTTCATCCAAAATTGGGAAGAAAAACCAAAATGTCTATTTTACTGAACGAAATTTAAATTTTTGTTTTGGGTCAACTGAAGCATTTTGTTTTGATAAATTTGAAATGTTTCTTTTCAATTCCAAGCATTTTCATATAAATAAAAGTAAATTTAAAACAGACTCATTCCAAAACAAAATAAAAATCAAACATTTTCTTTCTGAAAATGTCAAAACATCCCATTTTTGTCATTTTTGACATTTCTTTTTTCCAATTTTTTTCTGAAACAAAACTTTTCCAAAATAAGTACAACTTCACAACAAAAAAAATCAGTTTCCTCCAAATAAAGTGTTCTGACAGAAAACTGTTTCAGTGAAAAATTTTTGAAATTGTATGGTGGGCCATGAATGCTCATGAAATTCAGGGTTGGGGTGCAAGAGGGGGTGAGGGCTCCAGCTGGGGGTGTGGGCTCTGGGGTGGGACCAGAAATGAGGAGTTCAGGGTGCAGGTGGGGGCTCCGGGCTGGGACAGCGGGTTGGGGTGTGTGGGGAGGGTGGGGGATCCAGCTCGGGGTGCAGGCTCTGGGGTGGGGTTGGGGATGAGGGTTTGGGGTGCAGGAGGTTGCTCTGTGCTGGGACCAAGGGGTTCAGAGGGTGGGAGGGGGATCAGGGATGGGGCGTGGGAGGGGGTCAGGGTGCAGGCTCCGGGCAGCGCTTACCTCAAGCAGCTCTCAGAAGCAGCGGCATGTCCCCTCTCTGGCTCCTAAGCGGCGGCGTGGCCAGGCAGCTCTGCATGCTGCCCCATCCACAGGTGCTGTCCCTGCATCTCCCATTGGCCGCAGTTCCTGGCCAATGGGAGCTGTGGGGGCGGCACTTGGGGTGGGGGCAACGTGCAGAGCCCTCTGGCTGTTCCTATGCATAGGAGCAGAGACATGCCGCTGCTTCTGGGAGCCGTGCAGAGCCACAGCACACATGGAGCAGGGAAAGCCCCGGACTCCGCTCCCCAGCGGGACCTCGAGGGCTGGATTAAAGTGTCTGAAGGGCTGGTTGTGGCCCCTGGGCCATAGTTTGCCCACCCCGATCTAGTCTGACCTCCTGTGCATTGCAGGCCACAGAACCTCACCTTCCCAACTCTTGTGATAGACCCCTAACCTCTGGCTGAGTTACTGAAGTCCTTTTCACTGAGATCCATGCCTCTCTCCTTCCTGGTACAAGAGCCAAGGGCAATTATATTCCCTGCACTCAAGGGCATTCATTCATGGACGTTAGGGTGAGAAGAGACCCTATAATAATCTAGTCTGACCTTCTGCATAACCTAGACCATAGAATTTCACCAAGCCCATAACTTCTGGTTGAGCTAGAGCAGATATTTTAGAAAGCTATCCAGTCTTGATTTAATGACTTTAAGCAATGGAGGATTCACCATGTTACTAAGTACATTGTTCCAAAGTACATTGTTCATTGTTATACACTTGCACTTCCAGTTTGAATTTGTCTTGCTTCAGCTTCCAGTCACTTAATTTTTCTCTATCTTTGTCTGGTACATTAAAGAACCCTCTGTAATCAGATATCTTTTTCCTGTGTAGGTACTTATAGGCCACGATCAAGTCACCTTTTAACCTTCTCTTTGTTAATCTAAACAGATTTAGCGTCTTTAGTCTCTCTTGCTGTAGGTTTTCCTGACTGCTAATCATTGTTAAATGCAGGGTCTGCACCCCCTCCAGGTACCCTAGGGGCACGCATCACCTCAAAGGAGACAAAAGGAGGCAAGGCCTACACCAGTTCTATCAAGGAGGGATTGTGCCATTCTACTTCCCTAGAGTTTCAGTATAACCAATCTATTGTAGATATTTGTACAGCTCCCATCACCACACCATCTGAGACTCTCAGTGTCTTTAATGTGTTTATCTTCACAACACCCTTGTAAATAATATTATCCCCATTTTGAAGATGGGGAACTGAGGCACAAAGAGACTAAATGACTTGCCCAAGGTCACACAGGGAGTCTGTGGCTGAGCAGGGAATTGATCGCAGGTTTCCCAAGATTAGCACCCCACCCACAAGACCATCCTTCCACTCCATGATCATTATAAACACAATTTCACTATATCCAAGATAACTATAAAAGGAATTTCACCATATCCAAGTTCTCCAATAATACCGAGCACCTACAGAGCACTTTTCATTTTCATGGCACTTAGAAATGACAAGTTCATCTACAGTCGGAATAGTTTCTACTGTATATAATCTCTTTAATGAGCACAAATGCTGCAGTCTCATTGTTCTGGTATTCCCGTACTTACCGCCACACCTGTCTTAAAAAGGAGATAATGTACAGTCTGTGTAACATCTGCTGCGTGCATTAGATTGTGATAAGGATTTTTATGTTTGCTGTATCCAACTTCCAGTGCTTCCACAAAGGAGACAAGAGCAGAAATGGGAATCTAAAAAAGGAAACATGAAGTTAAAGGCACTGAGGACAGAATTATCTTCAATTATTAGCATTTTTATGAGTAACTTTCATCTAGTGCCCCAAAATGTGGTCTATACATAAATAAATCGCCTAAAACACCTTAGCAGGCACTGCGGAAACTGACAGTAAATCAAGAAGTTTACCCATTCCTAATCATATCAGGGATGAATCACACACACATACACATTAATAAGACAGTACACTACTACGTGCCTGTTTGAAGACATAATGCGGAATAAAAAAACAACAGACAGACCTTGATTGATTGCCCCTGAAGAAATGTTTCAATACAGGTCACAAAGTGTATGTCTGTTCTCTCATGACCCACTGTTAAACATCATTGCTTCACAATTCATGGGTTAGATTTTTAATGGCACATATTACAGCTACACTGAAACATTCCATAAGAAGCATTATTTACCCAAGTCTCTGCTTAGTAACTATTTCCCAAATTCTGCCCTCAGACACAGTACAGGTTTGCAACACTCACTCACTCCAATAGTAGTACTATACACATAGGTGAGGGCAGAATTTAGTGATTTCCTGGGGAGGAGAATGTCACTAGTCCAACCAACCACACATTTAAGGGAATGGCAACATCTGCTCTCCAATGCTAGTACCACATGCTCAGAACTATAATTTCTGAAGTTCTTGTGTGGTGGCTATCTGGATCTGTACTTTCAGTGGCACTACCAGCCAGAAGCAAACTGTAAACAACTCTGCCTTGTGTGTGCATGGTGGGAGTGTGTGTGAGGGGAAGAGGGAGGCAGAATCTGACTATTCTGGGAAGATCCTCTTTGGATATGGGGCAGTTCCTGAAGAAGCAGCCCAAAGAGGGGAGACTTGTGGGTCTCTTCTCAGAAGACAATAGTGAGTGGGACCCTCTGGGCAAGACAGGTGCCAGGGAAGTACGGGTCAGAGAAAGAATTTGGCCAAAGCAAAAGGATGAAAATCTCATGAGAACGGTTATTTTTTCCTTGTGAGGTTTCCACCATTTTTGTTCATGTTCCAGATTTAATTGAGAATACTATCCAAGGCTGGAATATAAAACCCAGCTTTGGCAGCATCTGGATCTGGACACCACTATGTCACCAATATTTATGCTTGAGTGTTTAATTCCTTTCCCAAGCTATGAAACTCAAGACTCTAGAGAATGAGGTCAGTGGCAACATTCAGCATACACAGCACACTGGAATGAGGTATCCTCTCAAAAGTGTAAGAGAAAATAAGGGCAGGTGAATTTAGAAATAGTACCAGTGGTGCAACTACTTCCATTATTGCAACAGCCTCAAGACCTCAACAGAACTGAAGGCTTGAAAGGATTCATGCTCTGCATACAGCTGAAGAAGTAATGTAAAGCTTGAGTGGTGGCAGGACAAGCAAAGATCTGTCAAGGAAGATAAGGGTACAGTATTTGCCTAAATGAAGAGAAAGAGAGCTTGGTAAGTAGGCCCTCAGCTGTACAGTATATCTCTATTACTATCTTGTTGATAGCTCTGGTCAACTGTGCAGAAATGAAACTTGAACAGCACAGAACTGAAAGGCTGAATGAAGCAGACTTCGGTAGTTGGCTCTGTGAATGAAATTTATGTGGGGAAAGTGATAAAAGGGTTTCTGTGTTCTAGTTCAGGGACTTGATCAAATGCTTACAAAACAACAAGTATTAGGAAAAGACTAATCATTCATAGAGCTTCTTTTTGAAAAGTACAAATTCTAGTCAGAATAGATGTATCATTGTAACATTATGCCCCATATTCTTCATAGAAATATTGTTATTAAATGAATATGGCATAACTAAGATATGTTTTACGCAAGACGGGCCATGTGAGGTATCATTGGAAAGGTTATGATCTACTGAATGTGATTATCCAATTTGTACGCATGTATAATTTCTGTATCTGAAGTTAGGAATATTGACCATGTAACAGTTACAACTGTGTGTATACTTGGGGAACGCACACCAGACAGTATGCAATCAGCCTGGATGGGCCATTAGGAAGGACAGTAGGACTGTGAAGATACTAATCTCCCTCCTTCCTGAGAAGTTTCTTAAGATGCTGCTGTGACACTGCAGGGTCATGTGATCATGTCACCTGGTACAGGATAGCATCTTGAAATGCTGGTACTTTTCCAAGGGAAGGGGCTGGGAGTCAAACTAGGAAACAAAGTATTCCTGCCATATACAAATCCTATTTAAGGCTGGGGAGTGAGTTAATCTAGGCTCTTCTCCATTGCATCCCTGCCCAAGAAGGAAGACTGCTGAAAACACCTGAAGAAACATGGGAACTGAGCTGGGGGAGGCAGGGGCTGAGCCCAGGCAAGAAAGGTCAGCCTGTAAAAGGAATGCCTGGAGATTTAAGCTGCATGTGGTGCAGTTTACCTTCAAGAAACTCTGCAATCTGCTTGAAACAACATTTAGGATGAGAAATTATTTGTAGCCTGTATTCCTTAGTGTATTAATCTTAGTTTATGTGTTTTGTTTTATTTGCTCAGTAATCTGCTTTGATCTGTTTGCTATCACTTAATTTACCTTTTGTAATTAATAAACTTGTTTTTTGTTTATTCCAAAACCCAGTTTGTGCAGTTCATAACTGGTGGGGGACAACAAAAAGCTGTGCATATCTTCCTCCACATTGAGGGAGGGAGCGAATTTCATGAGCTTACGCTGTATAGATCTCTATACAGTACAAGACAATAAAATTTTGGGTCTACACTCCAGAAGGTGTGTGCACCAGAGTGCTGGGCAATTCCCCGAGCTGAGTCCTTCCACAGAGAGCTGATTGCAGACTCTGTGTGATTCTACAACTGGGTGTGTTCCTACCTGTGTGTGTGCCAGAAGGGGGCCTGAGAGCCTGTCACAGCAGCACAGAGTAAGGGGAACCCAGGCTGGTGGGACAGGTGGGCTCAGTGGGACTCCAGTACATCAGGTGGCACCCGGAAGGGAGATCCAACCCATCACAATCATGAACATGGCATGCTTGATAGGAAGCAAGAGAAATAGCAATATTTAATTTTGAGGGGAGACAAGAAAGGGTTTACTATTTAGATTGTAGCAGTATCCATACTGAAGATGACAGTCCCAGCTCTGAAGAGTGGCCAAGATTAAATGGATCCTGAGATTTTAAACCCCCTGTATCCCCCATTGAAAAATCTTTTAAAATGCATTCATTGCATCGGTAATTCGATAACTCTAAACATGAACCTGTAGCCAGTACAAGTTGCTCAATCAACTATCAGTAGTGCATCAACAATGCTTGTTCATACAGTGACTAAATCTGAAGATTTTACAGCACACAGGAGTACAGTTGGGTATTCCCAATGTTCCATATACAGTTTAGCCAGGACCTCTCTTAAAAATTACAGTTATTTGGTGATGGACTCATCTAAGGTGTAATTTCTATTATGATGAGGGACTCAAGTACAACATGTCAATCTCTTGAAATGGTGAAGACACAGCTCATTCTTGAAGAGGAAATGTGACTGAATTATATTCCAGGACTAAAAGAACAGGAGTACTTGTGGCACCTTAGAGACTAACAAATTTATTTCAGCATAAGCTTTCATTGGCTACATGCATCCGATGAAATGGGCTGTAGCCCACAAAAGCTTATGCTCAAATAAATTTGTTAGTCTCTAAGGTGCCACAAGTACTCTAGTTGTTTTTGCGGATACAGACTAACACAGCTGCTACTCTGAAACCTATCATTATTCCAGGACTGTGATGCAGCCCCGCAAAAGTCCAAAAAAGTTTCTTGTTGACTTTGAAGGGAACATATTTGGACCCCAGTCCAATTAAATGCATGGTTTAGCAGACATTTGTAGCGCACAGGAAAGTATTTTAATCATATTGGGGGGAACTACTGCTCCAACATAGTAAAAGTTACAATAAAAGTATGGGTGGAACATAGGTTGAATAAAGTTTGAGTTTATTTCCTTCCATGATCTTCTGGGGAGTTGGGAAGAAAAGTCTCATCTCAGATTTACTAACCTTGAAACGGCTGATCAGATCGTAGCGTGTGAGAAGTTCGTAGAAAATGAATTTCAGCGCATGATCCCCGCTAGCATCATTCAGTGCAAATACATCAAAGGACCACTTGTCTACATTCTGCAAGGTGTGGAAAAAAAGGTGTTAATACAGCCACTTCTTTTATAATTACAATGCAATTTCTGCCGCTTTAAATCTTTAACAATCAGGAAAGCATAATTTTGCGGAATATGAAAAAAAAATCATAACTGCTTCTGGATTACTCTAATTTCCTTTCATCAGAGCATGTTCTATTTCAGCGGTTCTCAAACTGCTGGTCAGGACCCCAAAGTGAGTCCCAACCCCATTTTAATGGGGTTACCAGAGCTGGCATTAGACTTGCTGCAGTTTGGGGCCAAAGCCCAAGCCTCACCGCCCAGAGACAAAGCTGAAGCCTGAGGGCTTCACCCATGGTTGGTGAGGCTCAGGTTACAAGCTCCCCACCCGGGGCTGAAGCCCTTCGGCTTCAGCTTTAGGCCCCCCTGCCCACGGCAACGGGGCTTGGGCAGACTCAGGCTTCATTCTCCCCTCTCGCACGCCAGGGTCATATAGTAATTTTTGTATAGAACAGGGTTGCAGTGCAATGAAGTTTGAGAACCCCTGTTTTATTTTACCCTGCAATGTGTTACGATCATGGTAGATCTGGCAGGAGTTTAACAAAGAATATACATTCAGAAATGATTTTTTAAATTATGGTCACTCATGATATCTAACTACGATCAGCAAAGGCTGAATGTCAAAAGTTTTGGAATCCTGGTTTGGATAAGCACCCTACCATTACGATGCCTACACAGTCTACAGTTGGCACTGTTGCATATTCAGCAACTGTCTCTGCATTGGTTGCAGTTCTGTGCTTTCTCCTAAGTCTAGGACAATACTGTGGATACTGGGCCAACTTAGAATGGTGAATGTTGAGATTTTAAAGGCACCTGTTGTATCAGAACCTCTCAAGTCTGCAGAGTCTCTCTCTGCAGTTCTCACAAGAAGAGGCTCCCCGAAGCATGAAATACATTTCATGCTTCAGTCTGACCTAGAAACACAGAAAGAGCAGTTTCTCTTGTGGCAAAATAACGGAAGAAATATCTGATGCCTGAGGTCCAATTTCCAGTGGCTGTTACTCAGTTTTTACTAATTCACTAGGCAAACACCCACTGAAGCAGCTTGCCAGAGAGTCTGAGTGAAAACTGAGATTGTCTTAACTGGCAAACACCAAGCACATAGGATCAGTTCTGGTCCCCACCTGTGAGAATGTAAAGACACCCCTGGCAGAGGATTCATTACATTTCCACTGGGCAAGGGTGGAAAGGATGTAGAAGTGACCTTAGAATGGCCATGTCTGTAAAACTAAAAAGTGAATGAAAGATTATAAAAGGTCACAATAACCTATAACAACAAATGTTGATGGGAAAAGGTGCAAAAGGAAGGCAGAAAGACTGAATTCATCCAAACAAAAAAGGCCTATTGGTATAATTCATGGACTGTGTTAAGATCATGCTTAATAAAAAAAAAGTATGGGAGCGAAAATCAATGGACCAAAATTGGTGTGTCAGAAATTAGGCTTAACTAGTGAACAAATTAATGAGTGGATAGGCCATTCCTCCCATTCCTCCTTTTTAGGATTCTTAAAAAGAAAAAGACTTTGGGGAAATTAGCAGAAGAACCTGATTGCAAACAATCACTGACAGAGACTGGAGAACAGCGAAGGAGCAAGTTTTACCATGATGGCTGCCACCTCTGCTGTCTCCTGTGACCCTGTGATCTACCATAATACTACTGGGCCTTTGTCATCCTGATTCTGAGAGATGTCCTAACCAAGCCAGGCCAGAGAGCAGGAGCCAGATGATATCGCTACTTCCACCAGCTCAATCCCAACTGGGATGTGAGTCTGACTCTCTCTCTCTCTCTCTCTCTCTCACACACAAACACACACACACACACACACACACACACACACACACACACACACACACAC